ACCAGGTCGCTCACCAGACCTCCAGAAGGGATGGTGAAACCAAACAGCACCGGAGTCCACAGGTCCTCACTGAAGTCACCACCTCCTTAACCATCAGCACAGCGGCCTAAGCCAAGACCAAGGCTGGCAAAGAGACAGCAAAAAGGAAACAGTAGCCACCTTCGGGGCATTACAGATGGCTAATATGAGACCCACATCAGACCACGAAGTACAGCATGACTTGCACGCTACACACATGCAGGTGCTTCTCTGGGTAATGCTGAACGTGAGAGTATCTCAAACTGGGCCTATTTTAAGTTTATTATTTTAATAATACACTTTCACGCTTTCAGAAAAAGCAAGTAGAATCTTGCAAAATAAAAATCTAAATCATTTTATTACAGCAAAATAAACAGGAAATGCTGTTCCTAAATGTTTGTCCTGCATAACACAACTCACTGTGAAGACAAAGTGGATTCCAAGTGAATCCCAATCCTAGGCGATTGCTCAAGATTTTCTTGGTAGACCCATGTGGTACTGTGGAAGGAACAGCACACACCCAAATGTTCTCTCCTGCTGAGCCGATCGGCTCCATTCCAGCCAGCAAATGCAAAGACGGAATACTCATGTCCGTAGTACGACAGTCAGCGACACAAAATTGGCTACACTTATATTCCACATACAAGTCCCTCCATTAACACAGTGCTACTGTGTCCCCCAACCAACCCTACAAGACAGATGTGCAGTCATAAACTAGACTGTCAGTTTTCCTAGTCAGCAATTTCTAGTGATAAGATCATATTTATGCATTCATTTCTTAGATGACTGTTTGAAATCTAAAGTTCTCTATTTAAAGTGTACATGATATGCCAAAGAAAAACCAAAATCTTGCTCTTAATGTTGGGAGACTGTTTTACAACAGATCTGATCTGGCCTCTATTTTTACACTTTCCGTTAAACTCACTTAAACTTCAGAGCAATTCAAATTCAATCAAATGACACACTTTTCATTTCTTGACTCTCCAAAGTGCCAGACTGATATATAATATATGCAAAGTTGGATAACTCTGAGCACTAAACCATTATGTCTCTATTTGAAGCGGCACAAATTAAAAATGATAGAAAAACATATCCACTGAAGTCCCATCTAGAAGACTCAACTTGCAGAAAGACTCAAGCACACATCCCAGGCTTGAGCATAAATCATTAGAGTTTGCCAGTTGTACAAGTTTGCCAGTTGTAAGCCATCTGGCTGATTCTGTTTATACCATTGTAATGAATGCTATTCCAAGTTTTTGATATTTCCACAGCTCATAAGCAGTGAGGCTACTGGCAGCCAGGCTAATTCGGGGGGGGGGGGGAAGAAAGGTGGGTGATTCCATTTGATGGGGGGGGGGTTTCCATTGCAAATTGAAGATTAGATGCAACGTCAATAAAGAGGAAAAAAAATGGATTTCACTGAATTGGAAACACCACACACAGCCTCAGAATTCAAGTGGAACATTCCTATAATTCTCGATCTACCTGTCTATGTTGGTATTCTCTCCACCATTCAAGGAGGAAAATTCAAGACAATGGTTACTCCTGCACAGTTTTCTTCCCCAACTTCCTTTCCTGTTTTCCAGTTTGTTTCAGCTGGAAGTTCTTTAGGGCACATGCTCTGCCCTGCTTCAGTTGGCACAGGTGGCCACAGGAGAGAAGACTTGTCACTGACTGCTTGCTCTCGCTCCTTCACACTCTACCCTCTGAATGCCTCTCTTAGCCCACTCTGTGCCTCTCCTAACCTAGAAAAGTCTGAAGCCAGCTGCAACTGCAGCTGTTGGCTGGTCTTTCCCTTGAAATAATGGGGCTTAAGCAGCAAAGCAGATGCAGTTCTAAAAGTTAAAATTAAACAACAAAACATAACCTTAAAACATCCATTTTCTCTCTCCCAAGCTTCACTCTCTCCCCTTTTCTCTCAAAAACCCAAGAATCCTCCTGAGGGCAGCACTTTTCTCTAGAACATTCACCTGTAGCAGGCTCACCTGCATACCTGCTCCAGCAGGGCTTGCCAGCTCCCAGGCCCAGGTGTGGGATGAGACAGAAAATTTGCATTTCTAACAAACTGCTGTAGATACTGCTGTGCAGGCTCCAAGAACCCACACTGAGAATGGGAGCGTAGTCACGGAACCACGGCTGCAGCCAGAGAGCCCGGGAAGCCACAGCTGCTGCACAGCTCGGGGGAGCCGACGATAACTAGAGCTAGCAGGGTGGGGTGAACTTGGGAAGGCAGAGTTTGAGAGCAGACAGCTGCTGAATTATGTCCCATTTCTGCCAGCCCCTCGAGAGCCCCAGAGTAAAAGTAAAAGGAGGAAAATGAAATCGCATAAAGAATTAGGATCATGTATAACCAGTCGGCTCTTCAGCTTTGCATTTTGCCTATATTTCCAATTTGCCCCTTGAGCTGCCCATGGTGCTTTGTACCAGGTACTGGAATCAGGCCGATTGGGGGTTTGAAGTCGTGCCTTCTTCCTGGTGTATCCCTTACACCATAACAAAGCTGAGAATAACCACAGAACCCTCCAATGGGGCTCCCTGGATTAAATGTCCTTCTGCCTATGCACTGACAGGCACACACATGGTTAATCTTAGCTTCTATCACACAAGCCTCTTTTGGCTGTCCTGAGAGAACAATCCAGAGTTTTGGTCATTCACGTAGTGAGTACTGATGACCACCTACTATGGATCCACTGTGTGAAACTGTACAAACACATCGAAATGGACTCTGTAAAAAAAAGCAAGGTGTGTGGCTGATAGTATTTTCGTTTGCAAAACTATGACCTGATAGGAAGTTGCGCTCAGGAAAAACACTTACCTCTCAAACTGACTAACCAAGAGAATCAAGAGAAAGTGCTGGCTAGCCACACATTCTGTTTTGATGGTCACTAAAATAACAGAAGAAAGGGGGAGTATAATTCTACAGATACCTTGGCCTTGTATTATTAAGGCAATATTTTTGACTCTCCTGAAGACCGCAAACCCACTTTTCCCGAAAAATCATCATAGTTATCTGCCAGCGCAACAGGACACAAATTCGGCTAACGGATATCCTATTTTCAGTTCACACTGATGTCACCAGCCGGAAATGTAGGGTCACTGGGTAACAGGGGCAGTGTCTTACCTTGCAGCTCCTACCCAGTTCCTGGCATGAATGCCGCACCCGGCCCTCCTGCAGGCTCACATGGACCAGGCCCTCCAGTATGGAAAGCAGTAGTGGAAAGGTAAGTGTGACATCAGTCCAGACTTTCAATGTGTGTGTCCTGGAGGCTTTTCCTATTCCTCCGCTCAGGTTTTCCCTGCCCCGAGAAAGTTCTCAGGACCACAGGATGCTAGCATCTGCACAAGGGCTTCAGGAAACAACCATCCCAGCATGAACCTGACCGTGACCAACCACAGCTTAGGAAGTCCGAGGGTCCTGTCCAAAGCCAAGGGCTCTCCAACACACGTGTTCCACCCCTGACCACTGTGGCCGTCCCCTACACCACTGGCCTCTGCAGAGTCCACTTATGAAAAAATTCTGTGGGAAAAGTCTGCTAAGCATCAGCAACACTCACCTGCCAATATTAGTTTTGATTGTTGTGGGTGGGGACAAACAGGTGAGGTTACTGACACCAGTGAAGCCTCTGAGACGCTCAAACAGGAAACTTGCATTAAAAAGGAGACCGGAGTCCCTATTGAAAAGGTATATCATAGCTCACACCCTCTTTGCAATCACAGGCTATGCATGACACTTTGGAAATCTATTCAGGCAACATTTTCCTGCACTTTTCCTAAAGCATCTTGCAAAAGCAGCAGTAACCACCTCCTCCATCTCAGGGGCTATAAAAGTTGTACTTAAAATCTGAGCTGCTCTACACGACTGACAAAGCTTTATCTGTGTTCTTCCCAAATGTCCTAACTCATCTGTCACCCTGGTGACACACATGTACATGTTGCGTGCGTATGTGCTTTTTTCCCCAATGGTCTGCTCTCCCGACCCCTGGCTTCGGAGACAGGGACAGTTCTCTGAGGGTCACTGAGGCGGTCCCAGCCGGCCCATCCTGTTCTTACTGTGTGATGTCCCGGCGCACCCCACTGGCTGCCACCGCGCAGATGCAGGATGCTCCCGGGGCTTGGTGTATCTAGCGTGTTTGCAGGAAACCGGGAGCTCTGCGAGACTCCCCTCGCACTCGGTGCAAGCGCCTGTGCTTCGGGCGCGCCAGCCAGCCTCGTCCCCCGGCCCTGGCTGTGGGCTCCGGTAGACCCGGGAGGAGAGAGACTCCGTTCCTGCCTGCCCACCAGAGCAACTCTTGTCACCAGCGCGGCCACCTCTTCCTTTAGTTCTCAAGACAGGCGGTCTCGCACCCAAGCCACTACTTTTTTTTTTTAAGTTCTCATTCACATGTCAGAGAGTGCCGTCGAGTCACAACAGCAGCTACGCTGCTGGCCAGACTGACCTGCACCTTCGGACAGTCCCAGACCCGGGGACTCAGCTTGCTCCCCCGCATCATGCTCGCCGTGGCTGGCGAGGTGGGTAGGGGCTACACAGGAATCAGAGCAGCCCTGCACGGGAGCAGACGCAGCAAACAGAGTGGTCATACCCATCCTCACATTCAGGAGCGCAAGACCAGACGGGAGGGTGGTCCCCGCCGTCGTCACGGAGGGGACTGTCCTTCCCCTTTCCTGTCCCCGCACCACAAGGCCTGAATACCCGCACAACTACACGCACATCCCACACACGCATCCTTTTTGCCCCGGTGAGGAGGGGCCTGGCGAGGGCAGGTGGAAGGCGTCCTGCCCGGGATACCTGCCGGAGGCCCCTGGGTACCTATAGTCCCGGCTCGTGGCAGGAGCAAAAGCGCCCCGGGTCGTGGCGCCAAGGGTGGCGGTCGCCACACCTGGCGCGCCTCCGAGCCGCGGCGGCAGCAAGGGGGTTCACACGGTCGGTCCCCGACGCGTCCCCGGAACCTTGGCGCAACTTTGTGTCGCCCGCGAGTCCTTACCCAAATACTGCCGCAGGTCGAGCAGGAAGCGAGGTGGTCCCCCGCTGAGCTGGTAGAAGAGGGATCCCAGACAGAAGACCAGCAGGGTGGCCATGCAGAAGCCGTAGTCCCGGAGGGAGAAGCGCAGGAAGGGCAGCAGGGGGACCCGGCGCTTCCAGCTGCCCAGGCCCGCGGGGGCGCCCCCGAGAGGGGTCCCATGGGGCCAGGGATCCGCGCCGCTGCCGGGATGCTGCTGCTGCTGCTGCTGCTGCTGTGACTGCTGCTTCTTCTTCATCGCCTGCTCCGCCGCTTCGCACAGCCGGCCCGGGCCAGGAAAAGGTCACCCATCCGCCGCCAGGAGGAGAGCCCGGCCGGCCGGCCGCGCATGGGGAGGGCCGCGCCGCGGGCAGCCGGCTGGGGGCGGGGCGGGGCCCAAGTTGCCGGACTCAGGAGACTTTCCTGGGCATGGTCCCCGCCGAGCCGCCGCGGCCCGAAGCGCCGAGCCGCCGAGCTGCCGGCTCCGGGCTGGCGGGACGCCGCCCGCGCCCGTCCCGCGCGCGCCTCAGCCGCCCCGCGCCCGCCGCCCCGCCGCGCCTCGGGCTGCCTCGCGGCCGCCGGGGCTCGCCTCCAGCGCCAGCGTGGACCCCCGGCTCTGTGGGTGTGCGTGCGCGCGCGAGCGTGTCGGCTCTCGGCGGGTTTTGTCCCGGCTCGGGCTCCTCTGAGGGAACGGCTGGGAGGCGGACACCGTCTCCTCGCTCCACCTCCTGGACAGGGGGCTTCCTCCTCCCCTTTCTCCCTCCGGCGCTGCGCGGCCGCCCCGGCCCGCTCTCCCCGCCCGCGCGGCGCGGTCCCCGGGGCCAGCTCGGTGTCACGTTACCCCGGCTGCGGGGGGCGGAGGCGGCGCGTCCCCGCCGCCTCCAAGAAAGTTTCTGGGTGTGTTGTGTGTGTGAGGTTTGGTGTTTTTTTTTTTTTTTCCCCTCATTCCCCCTTTCTCTGGCCTCGGTTCCTGCATCACCAGCGACCTCTGGGGGCCCGCTGACTTCGCTCTGGTCCTCAGTCGGCGGCGCGAAGAAGCGCCGCGAGGCTTCCTAGTCTGTGTGGTTGCCTTCCAGAAACAGGATGCTCCGCTCTCCCCCGGGGCTGGGCTCTGAGGTTTTAAAAGACTTGGCTGGGAGCGAGCGTGTGAGCGGTATGAGCTTTAGAAGAAAACAAGCCCCGCGGGGCCAGGCTCGACGCTCCCGCTGCCTCAGGAGGGAAGCCGAGAGGACGCTTTCGGATGGCCCTTGTCGGGTCTGACAGCTGCGGCCCGCCGCGCCAGTCCCCGGCCCCACCTGCTTCCGTGCTGCGCTGGGAAGCCCGGGGGGCAGCGAGGACAAGGAGCATCACAGAGCCGGCTGTCCTCTTGGGGCGGGTGATTCACGATAAGGGCTGCCCTCCTCGGCCAGGCGTTCAGGAAAACAGCTCATCACCACTATATAGTCAGGTTGGGAGTGGCACTTAAACCCCTTTGCTCCTCCAGCCTTCTCAGCCAGCCAAGGCCCTTGGTACCCGTCGTTCACTTGTGGCCCGGATGATGGGCTAGACTGCAAGCTGTGTGGCCTTGCTTGGAACCCAGACGCTCATCCTTTCGTTCTCCCTTCTGCATATTGGAGGAACAATATTAAAGGGGGAATTTGGAGCTCACAGCTGTGTCCCGACAGCTTACACAGAGTGGAGTATCTAGGGGGAAAAAATATCACTGGAAAATTAGGGACTAGGATTCTGAAATCAAGAGATTACAGTGGAACAAAGGTACTTAACCTGTGGTTAAAGTTAACCTGTAGATGAGTGTCTCCAGTTCCTGCCTTGATCCCTGAGTGAAGAAGGCACGAAGGTCAAGAGCCAAAGAGAGTTACAGGTGTATCGCTTCTCGGCCTTTTGGCTAAGATCAAGTGTGGAGAGTTACAGGTGAGCAGGGCAGGGTCCCACACATGCACCCGCACACTGACTCACAGACGTGTACAGATTCTCCCTGATTATCCGTGATTCTGGCCCACCTTCTAAGCGATTTTTCTGTTAGTTGTGCATTTCATTTTTATCCCATGAATCAGATATCCAGATCCCTGAATCTGGACGGACCGGCGTATTTTACAAATGTGAATACCAACCATCCATCAGTGCCCATTCCTGATGTTAGTTCCAGGAGTAAAAGCCTGAACAGCTGCCCAAGTCAAACCTTTTGAGTTTATGCAGAGGGACCAGGAGATGGAAGGGGCCGTATTGGTGATGTTCCGCCTGTGAGGGTCACTTGCTGAAGCCTGACGCTGTAACATGAGCACTCGATGGTCCTGCCCAAGAGGCTCTGTTCTCTGCCGCCCTGCACCCAGCGTGTTAAGCCTCCTCTCACCACTTGCCTGGGAAACTCCCTGATGTTTCTCCTAAGGAAAGGGATCTGAGAGGTGGGGAGACAGAGCAGGAAGAAGTGAAATAAACATCGGAGAAAATAAGTAAATATGGGAATAAAAGTTGAAACCAAACCAGTGGAAAAGTTATTAGGACAGTATAAGGGGGCAAAGCCCAGCTTAAAACAACAAGCAAAGACATGAATTGTAGACAATAAAAAAAAGTCCGTGTTTAAAAGATTGTATTAATGGACTAGCTGCCTAAAAACTCCGAAAGGAAAAGCAAGGCTATGAAGAAAGAAAAAGACAAAACACTTTGTGTCTTCACCAAACAGAATCTTGGGTGATGGCACGAAGCGTTGTTCTTTAATTAACGAGTGGCATCTTTATTGAAATCACATAATAAATGTACCTTAGTAGAGAGGAATGTATTAGCAAACTTTATTTTTGGTTTCATAATTTATAAGCAATAATTTTATTATTAGCTTCAGAATTTACAAGCAATACTTTACAACACCTAGACTCCCTTCCAGGTTGCCTAGGCCTCTCAATGCCTTCTCTCTCCAGTGATTTTTCATACAGTTTATGTGTGTGTGTGCATGCTTATTTATTCAACAGAGCAACAGAGAAACATAATTTGTTTTCTTCCATCTACTGGTTCACTCCCCAAATGCCCACACCAGCCAGAGCTGAGTCAAGTTGACATTTCAGGTCTCCCGGGTTCTGACAGGAATGCAAGCACTTGAGCCATCATCTGCTGCTTCCAGGGTGTGTTTGCTGGGAGTCAGATCTAGAGCACGGTAGCCAGCACCCAAAAAGGACACTCAGAGGATGTGGGCATCTCAAGCAGTATTTTATCCCACTGCACCCCAACACTGGTATCTCCAGTGACTCTTCCTTTCTGGCCTCCAAGCCGCTCACTCCTGTCTCCTGTGACCTGCTTTTGAACTTGTTTGCTCTGTCGTCCTCTGTGCCCGCTATAGCCAGAGCTGGGCCTGGGCAAAACCAGGAGCCTAAAACTCAAGCCAGAACTCCCAGGTGGGGTGCAGGAAGGCGAGCACTGGAGCTATCACCCTCCAGCCTCCGAGGGTGTGCACTAGCAGGGAGTGCTAGCTGGGAATGAAAGTGACTCTTGAACCCAGGCGCCCTGATGTAGGATGCAGATGACGCAAGCAGTGTCCTAACCACGGTCCCCAGACACTGCTTGGGTTGCCTTCATCTAGTCACGTAGACTCCCAACCCTGAACTCCTTTTTTTTCGTTTTTCCTTTTCCTTCACTCATGTTGCTAAGCCACCTGCACTTTCTGTAGGCTTAAGAGCAATCTTCACAAACAGTAACCAGACTGGGACCTTCTTTGCCGTCATCCTGGCCCACATCCCCATCATCTCTTACTTCGCTCATTGTGGCAGCTTCCTGTATCAGTTACGGTGAGATTTAATTGTTCCAGCAACAACAAATAACTGGTTTAAACCAGAGTTTATATGTCTGCCATTTGCAATGAGCCCAGAGTTGCTTTGCTATCTCCATGCCATCATCAGGAACTTGGGTGGGCTTTTCACTCTACCATCTCCATGTTGCTTTCATTTTCAAGACCTCCCTATGATTCAGAATGACTGCTGAAGCTCCAGTCATTAGGTTTACACTCCAAGCTGGGAACAAGAAGAGGCAAAAGAGGAGAAAAGCCCTTTTCCTAAAAAAGGGTTTTTTTTTAAAGCAGTTTCCAAAAAGTACTAAAAATTACTGACAGAGCTATGTCTGGTCATAAGAGGAGAGTGCTAGGAATCTATCTTTTATCTGGGCTACTTCTAGGATTCTATCACTAAAGGAAGAAAAGGCAGGTGAATAGTAGGTGGCACCAGCCATCTCTGTGTTCCTTGTGGCTGGTCTCCCAGCCTGCATCCTTTTGTTCTGGGGCAGCCGAAAGGAGAGATCCCTCCTCAGATCCTGTCAGTGGTAAGTTCCCAGGGATATCTCAGGGACGTCAGACACATACGCATCAGCCTACGCAGTCCTGCACGTTGCCTCTCTGCCCCATTGTCTCTCTCTAATCTCATCTCTTATCCCAACCCTCCTCACCCTGAGCCACTATTGTTCATCAGACAAAACCACTGGGCTCTATCAGGGTGAGTGGTCTCTGCCTAGAAAATTCTTCTCCCAACCCTCCACACAGTCGCCCATTCCCAGCCTGGCTTGCTCTGCGGCTGCCTTCTTGTTCTGATCAAGGCACGCACGCCCCTGTGTCCCTCAGTACTTGGATCTAATTCTCTCCATAGAATTTCCCATGTTCTGAAATGTTAGTATCTTGTATTTGTTGTGTGTTTCTCCCCACAAGGAAACAGGCAACACGAAGGCCTCAATACCTAGAAGGGTGTCCACATGTAGTTGTTATTCAGTATTGGTACAATGAAAATGGCAGTTTTTAATGACCAAGAGTCTCAACCTCAGGGGTTCAGATCTCACTATGCCATGGCTGGCCAGCTGGAGATGAGCAATGGAGGGTAGCTGTACATCCTGCTACAACTGTCAAACTATCACCGAAGGACTTGTTTGAGGTTAAACACGTGTTTGTTACACTGTAGAATGAGATGAACGAATGAAACCCTCCCCACTCTCAATGACCATTTCCTGTCATTGTGGAATTGTTGGAGGGACTGTGAATCCAGAGGGCTTTGGTAGGTGTCACCACTCAGCTGAATGGAGAGTTGCTTAGCCTTAGGATCTGAGTTCATCTCGGGAACCTGGGGCCGACAGACTGCTGGAGAATCAGCTTTCTGAGCTCTGCTCTTGCATGGATTGCCAACACATCCTCTGTTGGAAGTAGGCTTTCTGTAGACAAGTTTTTGAGTTTTGCCCATATTGTGATAATGGCAAATCATAAGCCAGCTCCATCTGGTTCCCAGCAGTTAGGTTGGACACTAGCTTTTAATAACAAAGTTAAGACCCCCTTGGTTTCTAGCCTTGGGGAGCACAGCTCTCTGTGTTCCCCAGTGTCCAGCCCAGCTTCTGTATGTGGCTATATGCACACAAAGAGCCAGAAGGGCTCTCTACTCACAAATTCGCATTATCCCTTGCTATGGAT